TGTCCAAGTACGAGATTGAATAATGAAGTAGTGAACATCCAACAAATCAGATTTCTAACTTTCGGACTCCCTATTTTGACGAATTATAAACTTTGAAACTAAAGCGAAGTTACAAAGTATGTTTCATTCGGAAATTATCTATGTAGATTCTCATGCGTTCAGGCACTGCCCACTTGGAAATGTCAGAAGAACGAGGAATTAATAGTTCAAGAAGATGAATCACGATGAGCAGTGATTGATATGACAGGAATCATAAGCATAGATGCAAATCTGAGAATTCAGTATTTTCTGCGCAGCGTAAAAATGATATTGTCAACATTCTGATCATCTATTAAGCAACAGTACGCTAGCAGATAAAGTTGGAGATGCTGCTAGAATGACCGGTATGAATAGAGAGAACTTGAAATAAATGGTATCAACGCATTTTATATAGGATCTTAAAAAGAGTGCAACCACCATTCTTGATGTTAATATTACTCAATGCGAATATCTCTTAATCTCCGATGAGCTCTTTTTTGTATTTGAAAAGAACTGAAAACGCACGAGACGAGTTTATGAGACGCGTTGACGGATTCAGAGGATGAAGAACACTCTTTCTTATGTAATGGATTGAATACCAGACTACCGGCTAGGAAAAAAAAGGGAAACGTAGTGATACGACGTCAGCGAACCTGAGAAAACCTTCTACTCGAGGATACACTCACCTGTCGTCTGCCATTCGCTGGGGACAGTGACCGAGCTCTTTCTTGATCTAACCAGCTTACGCCTTTCCTACTGCAAAAAAAACCACAATCAGCTCGTATTCTATAGAGCACGAATGAAGAAGAGTTCATAAATACCTTTTTAAACTTCCATAAGGACTTGGTGGTCGAGAATGTTTTGCGATTCCTCCTCTGCCTAATGTAGAGTAGCCGTTGTTTGAGCTCAGCGTACTGTATCCTCCGTATCCGTTTGAGTTTAGGGTACCATAGCCATAGCCAGTATTCGTAGTCATGGTGCCATATGGTGACGTGGCCGAAGCGGGTCTGTACTGAGGGGCAAAACCATCGTCAAGGTGGCTGCCATCACCGAGTTCCGGAAAGTCGGAAGTAAAGTTAACAGCTGAAACACCGACTAAAAGGTCATGCAAGAATTTTTGGGTTTAGATAGAGATATGTCTCTAAGGTTTCGAATTAATTCCTGAAGTTTCGCGTCATATGAGATGCTTCAACACCAAGTCGTAGATCTGTGATTCAAAGTGCGAAAGCAAAAGAGCTGCTTACGCTGACCAGTCGGTGTCACGAAAGGATTCTTAAGTGGAATGGCCCCTGTGGACGAAGTATATTGGCTATGGGATGATGCACTTCTCTACAAATAAGTTGGTTTTACAAAATTATCATTGTCGTACAGAAAATGAAGTAGAATTTACTGGAGAAAATTGGGTGTTGTCGTTCTTGTTATATCCGGCGAAAGATTCACCATGGCTAAGACTTCTGCTTAATTGAGCATAATTCGACCTCGGTTTTCGTCTCACAGGAGCTAAAAATGTTCATTTAGGAGTAAAAACACCACTAAAAGATATAATTGCTTGCACGGAAGCTCTCGATCCTTGAACTGGAGTATATGAGCGTTATTGTCGATAAAACGTTGAAGCTCCCGATCCTGAGTCCTGGAGAGTTCATGTCGATTCACCAGGTCGCAGCCATTTACAACTATCTTATTCTAAATTGGCGCAGTCCCATTAATCCTTCAATACTTTTGGCCATTGTTTGTTGTTCTTACCGCGGAGTCGATGGAGGGTGTACTGGACATCCTGGTCTCTGGAGGCAACTACCGCGATAGCGCCTCCTACAGGCAATATCCTGCAGCAAACAGGATCAAAAATCAATATACTAGAAGAAAATGGCTCATTGAAGTTTCAACCTTTGTAGTAGTATATTATAGAAGAAAGGTTATTCGCTGCAATTACTACAAATGCAACCTTGGAAAAACTTGGCTCAGATGCTACTCAAAAAGTTGATTTGCGTCATATGGTGAGAGCCACATTTTCTGGAAAAAAAAATGAAAGAACACACCTGCTTCCTATAGCTCCAAATCAGATGTTGTAACTATTTACACTTTGAAACGGTTTTTTTTTTCAAGTTCGGAAGATTTGCTAACCGCTGACTTTTATGTGTTAACGCAAACAAGAAATTTTTTGGGAATTGGGCTCATTCGGAAAATTCCTCTGTAGTTCTTACTTTGGAGAGTTACAGAAAATTTTGTTTAGAAGTGAAGAAGTGAGCGCGGCCGTAATTTTAGGAGAAAAGCGTTGCAAAGTAGGAGATTATCTTAGCAAATGCAGCTCATGTAACAGAGGTTTGTGATTGATTAGCTTATCTCGTACAGGTCTCCTCTCAACTACTTTTCAGTATTTCTAGGTTGCTTAGAGTGGTGAAGAAAAATGGGGATATTAACTACGTAACGCTCTAAGAGATAAGAGGTATAAAACAGATAAGAGAAAAGTTAAAAGCTTGGCAATAGTTACATACGCCAAACAACAATATTAAAAATTGTTAAGCATCAGATTCGCAACT